GTGGACATAACGCCCACTGCAGAGCAGCAGATACCTGGCACTTGCTGGAGTCGGTCATTTTCATATTAAAGTATCATGATCCTTTTTTGTGTTTTTAATTATTACAGAAGAAACGAACAGCCATGATGAAGAGGGACAGATGACCACTGAACATATGAAGAAGAAGAAACGCATCATCAAGCTCAGGGTAAGTTTTACATACATGAATACTATCACAGATATGGAAGCCCTTTCAATGAGTAAAGTGGGCATTTATATATGGTAGCTTTCAATAAGATAAGAAAAAGTCATCTCCAAATCATGTTCTCTAGATACCTTGAGAGTATATAGAATGTAAAATAAGTTCTGAATCATTTTCTGTGATCATAACAAAAAATGTAGTTTTACCTAAATTCTGAAACAATTACATCACCTATATTAATCTGTGCATGGATTACTTTTTTTAAAATTAATTTTATTGAGAAACAAATAGCAATGAGACAGTTTCAAAACCAATTAGTAGGGCAGTTTCAATAATTAATACATTGCATATTGTTGTTTTCATATTGGTCATTCACAGTACAAGATGGAGACATGATATCCTGTCCAAGCACTATTAGTACAAATCTTTCTTCTCATTGAATTAAGAGAAAGTAGCTATATATATCTATCTTAACTATTTTGTATATAAAGACACAATAGTCCTTCATTTGTATCTGCTTTTTTGTTTAGTTTTGTCAGAGATGGGTATTCCACTGCCATTTAAATATTGCAAGTGCATGAGATCAGCAAAATATTCCAATATAGTCCAGTAGTCCATAGGAGTAGTGGGTTATCCACAGGACTGGCAATGTCAGAAGTTGTTGACTTGAACCTTTTTCTGCTCAGCATATTAATATAGCTTTACTTTTTATACCTTGTTTTTATACTTTTTCTGCTGGATGGTTAAGACCAAGGTAAAGCAAGACCTATATAACAAGAAATGTAACTTTTGTATCTGGTAAATTCAGTCAAGTACCCTCAGGATTTAGCCTGAATCCCTGTACACAGTTTGTAAATCTTTTGTCAGTGCCAGCCATGTGGATGAGTCACGGCCATTGCTTGACCAACTTGCTCTCTGTGAAAGCCTGAGAGAATGTTTTCTCCCCATGTGACTCTCCTTAGGCACACTCTATGTCATAGATCACTTTCTTCTGTGGCTCCATAATGTCCTTCATGAGAAAATGTGGGACACAACTGAGTTACAGGATGTTACACTGAGTTACCATCTCACACTAAAAAGAATGGCTATCATAAACAAATCAACCAACAACAAATGTTGGAGAGGCTGTGGGGAAAAAGGAACCCTTGTCCACTGCTGATGGGAATGTAGACTGGAACAACCATTTTGGAAATCAATGTAGAGATTTTTCAAAAAACTAGGACTGGAAATCCCATTCAAACCAGCTCTTCCCCTACTGGAAATTTTCCCAGAGGAGCTGAAAACATTATATCATAGTGACATATATGCATCTATATTTACCACAGCAGATTTTTTTTTTGAGATCAGTTATTTTTATTTTAAAGAAG